TAATCATCACTGTCGGTGTCGTGTTTGTAATGGAGTGATGCATATATGCCAAGTGCTTTACGCAAGTTGCAGTTGTCGTTGTCGGCTTGGAAAGCATCGCTTCCAAAACGTACATGTCAATCTTACTTGCAACACTGAAGCATTCGTGTATCGCTTCATTGCATTTACAACATGTGTTATACCACGTTCGCATATCGTACGTGTTTGTGCTGGAGTGGTGCATATATGCCAAGTGCATTATGCAAGTTGCGGTTGTCGTTGTCGGCTTGGAAAGCATTGCTTCCAAAATGTAATGTCAACCTTATTTGCAGCATGGAAGCATTCGTGTATCGCTTCATTGCATTCACGTCATCGCTACATGTTTGCATACTGTATGTGTTTGTATTGGAGTGGTGAACATATGCCAAGTGCAAACGCATATTGTGGTTGTCGTTGTCGGTTTGAAAGCAATGCTTTCAAAACGTACATGTCAACCCACTTGCAGCATGAAAGCATCCGTCGTTTCAATGCATTCATTACTCTTTTGTATGTTGTACGGCACGTTTTTGTACGGGAGTGATGCATACATGCCAAGTGCAGAATGCAAACTGCGGTTGTCGTTGTCGGTTTGGAAGCTAAGCTTCCATAACGTACATGTCAACCCCATTTGCAGCATTGAAGCATTAGTGTACCGTCTCATACATTCACATTATTATACGTGTGCATGGTATGTGGGTGCTTCAGAAGCTGGGTGTTGGTGTGCGATTTTGTTATTCCACCACCATATTCATCGACGATGGAATGGTAGAAGCACTGCACAACTCCAAATGAACTACCACATATTGCACGTGAGCATATTTTCCGTTTCTTTTGTTTTGTGTGTTATTTTATGCGTTCGTTTGTTTCAAGTGATGAATAATTGTGGTATGGTATTATTGTTGTTTGTGTATGAAGTGGAATGGAGGAGGATGTGTGATGTTTTGTGGAATGCGTATGTAGTGGGATGATCTATGTAACATGTGGATGTTTCGAAAGGTTTGTGCATGATTTCTACATAAAACGAAGAATTACGACAATGTACGTTTTTATACCATTGTGCGCCGTAGTTATCGACGAACATTGGTAGATGAAACATACATCATAAGTGTATTAGAACCGTATACGAGTGTAAAATATATTAAAAAAGACAATTTAAAGGTGTAGTAACCCTGGCGCACGAAGACATGAAACCAATTTTAGGCCTAGGGAATATTTAGGGTGATTGACCAGGGTTGAATGTCGAGGGTTGGACAGGTCACGGGCTCGAGAGTCCCGAGGGTGATGGGGGTGACATGGGTTCAGGGCGATTCGGGATGAGGTTGGGGGCCGAGTACAGACGATGTCCACAAAATGCCCAGCCCGAAAAAAAATCCCAATTGCCCCACCCCCACTAGAACAAGTTTACGGGCAGTAGCCGTCTCGACAGAGCCTGAAAGTGCCTGCTTGACGACGCGCACACAAAGCGTCATCATTACAGCGGCTCTTAACATGTTGATAACGACGGACTCAACGCGGCTTACTTGCCTTCGCCACACATATTTCTCCGGCGTCGCAATAGCGCTTCGCCCGAACCGAAACACCTTTCGTTACTTTCGCCGAGCCGCGACATGTCCATGTCGACAAGAAGAATAAACTTACACCGTTCGACCTAATTACGTTTGCTGATGTGTACGCGGATCGGTTTTTTTCGCCACACATATTTCGACGGCGTCGCAATGGCACGTTGCCGAACCCAAAATAGCCTTTCGTTTTTTTTGCCGAGCCGCGAATAATACCACGTAGACAAGGGCTCCAAAAGTTACAGTGCAAAACTGAAATTACATTCGCTGACCTGGCGACCTATCACCTCAATGCCAAAATCGGACCGCCCCTCGCGACGCGGCAAACCCAATCCCGAGCCGTGGCAGCCAAGCGCGAAATAGTGTTTACACAACACGCCGTTCAAACATTCGGATCCTTGTTACATTGCAAATGTCACGTCAAGGCTGAGCACAAATGCATCTTTTAGGTAACGCGTTGGCGAACGGCCGTTGCCAAATAAGAGACGCAACGTACCAAAAATGAAATCCGGGATTGGAAACAAGCTCCAAAAAACCCAACCCCAAACGACCTGCCCGCACGCAAGTGCTATGTAAACTGCCACCAGAGAGCATAGAGCCAACTCCTGGACGCCTAACCATCCACAGATTTCCAACTTGCCACCATGCCGCAAGTGCACCGGCGCTCGCAGCTCCCTCTCGAGGTAAAGCGCGCGATATGCAGGCATCGCACGCTTAACAATCATCTCCGGCAGGAGGACCTGGCGCGGTGGTGCTTCACCCGCTTCGGCCTCATGCCGGACCGGTCAACCGTTGGGAAGGTTTTGCGCCAAGAAGCTCGCTGGTTCGGTGAAGACGCTTTGGCATGCGATCGGTGCATCTGCGGCGGCCACCATCCGGATGTTGAGGCCTTGATTCTTCGCTGGGTTGATAGCGCTGGTCCCGTCGGCGTGCCTCTGACGCTGAGAACTATCCAAGCTCAGGCAACGTTATTTGCCTGCGCATTGGGTAAGCCTGATGGCTTCAAAGTATCGATCGGGTGGGTGAGGCGCTCGCTGAGAAGGCTCAACATCCGTTGCCTTACTCAGTCCGGTGAAGCCGCAGATCAGGACCTTGGAGCCGTCATGACCTCCAATGTCCAAATGCCGGAGTTCTTCTGTCAAGCCGACGTTCACCCGCGTAATGTTTGGAACTTTGATGAGACGGCGTTGTTTATCTCCACCCTTCCGCGAAAAACATGGGCGCGCCGTCGATGGGGTTCCTCTGCAATGCGGACGCCTCCACAATTTGGCGCCCTCTCATCATCTCCAAATCGTGCCGCCCCAACGACTTCCGACCCGACTACGACCCCAACCCCTATTGCTACTGGTGTAGCAATGAGAGGGGTTGGATGACCTCCAAGGTAAGCTTGTCTTCATGCTCTCGCACCCAACTGCCGCTCTCTCACTCCCGGTCACTCAGCAAATTGTTCCTCCAACGTCACACGCGTCGGTTCCTACTTGTGTCTCAACGCCGCACCTTACCGTCCCTCTTTCCCCCTTCCACCCATTCTTCTATTCCACTCTCTCCCCCCCCCACCTTCAGCTTTTCACCCATTACATGGAGCAACTAAATGCAGCCATGTTTGCGGAGGGGAGGCGGGTCATCGTCCTTGTGGACAACGCCTCCGCCCACACCCTCCTCTCCTCCGACGCGCATCGGAGGACCTCTTCGGGTTCAGAACCTGCGCCCTCTCCAACCTCCGCCTTGTCTACCTCCCCCCCAATACAACATGTTTTACTCAGCCGCTTGACCAAGGCATAATTGCCATGGTCAAAGCGCGCTACCGCTCGCGTTGGCTTGAAGAGCTCATGCGGCGGTGGGGAGAGAATGGCGCCGCGGCGGCTCTGACGTGCCTCCGCCCCAGCATGCGGGAGGTGGTTGAGTGGTTGTGGGAGGCATGGTGCGTGGTGGGTGACCGTACGATCCAACGGTGCTGGTGGCGCACCGGATGTCTCCCCGCCGAATGGGCGGCCCTCCTCGAGCACGTCCCGCAAGCTCCTCTCCCGTGCGACGTCGTGCCCGAGGAGGAGCGAGACGAGGATGACGGTGGCTTGGAGGCCGACAAGGACTCCGACGAAAGCAATGAGGAGGTCGTCGGAGGAGTCGGCCTCCAAATCGCCGCCCTCAGACTCGGGCCGTCCGCTATGCCGGCGGCGGAGTTCGTCGCTATCGACGAAGCACAACCGACGTGCGCGGAAGCAGAGGATGACCCCCTCGCTGAGGAGCCTCCCTTTCCCCCGCGCCGTGGGGCGTGGGAGGTGCTGCCTCGCGACGACATCCGGACGTTCGGCGACGCGGGCGACCGGGCGAGGCGTCGCATGGCGCGGGCGGCGTGCGAGATGCTTATTGGCTACGCCCGTGCCAAGAACATCTCCCCTCGTGACATGCTCGCCCTCTTCGACATACGTAAACCCTATCGTGGTGAGCAGGCTCGAGAGGGCGAGCCCCCTCCCCGATCTCAACGGCCTCCCGGCGAGCCCCCCTCCCCCTTCGCGCACTAGCCGCGTCCTCCCGCCGTCGATCGCGGGAGTTTCCCGCCGCGCGGAGCTGTATGAACAGGGCGTCAGGGCGGTGATGGACGGTCTGCTCGGACCTGTTGAATGGATGCGCCACCCTTTCGGCGCTGCTTAAGTGCGTGAGCAGAGCATGGCGCCCGCCATCAAGTTCCTCGTGGGGCAATGTAGTGATTTTTTTGCTCTAAAATTTGTCTCCATAAATTGAAGTGAAGTGAGCTTGAAGAGGTTGGGAGGAGGTGGTTGGGAGGACAAGTGGTTGAGAGGAGAAGTGGTTGGAATAGGTATGTGCTGTTGTGGCTAGGTTCCAAGACTCTGGGAGTTGGGGGCATCAAATTCAGCTGATGAGGTGGCGAAATGTATGCCATGTTGGTGTTGGCGTTACTTACCAGAATATGGTACGCTGAGGTGGCGCTGCTGTTTGATGTTTCAAACTGGTTGAGGTGTTGGATGTGTGTTGTTTCTTGCGAATTTGTTGTGATCTTGCCAGTGGTACTTGCAATCTATTTTAATGCGGCACTGTTTGCCTGTTTATCCAGGCTACGAATATTAATCAAACCCAGCCACCCAACCTCCCCCGCACCAGCCAAAAACGTTACCCTTGTGCGCAGCAAAAATCCCTCACCACTAGGGGCGAAGGGTGGCGAAATACAGATTCGACAGAAGCCTACGCGGCTTGGAAAGGTGACGGGCCTCTCTCGGAAACAGATTGTAGTTCGGCGGGGGCTGGTTTGGGGTGAGAACCGAGGGCCGAGCTTGCAGACCCGAAGGTTTCGCGTGTACTCGCTGAAGCGAGCCCCAGTAAGGAATCGTAATTCCATACACGAGCTGCAACCATAACCCATTGTTGCTTTGGAAACGCCCTGACATTCATTTTCCCCCTTCCCGAGTGATTGGGCGTAGAGCGGGAGGTATTCCAACCCAAGGCTCGACTTCACCTCGCGTCGCACGCCGTCGCCTCTCGCTGCTTCCTTTCCCTCATCTCTGCGCCTCTCCCCGCTTTCCCCTCCTTCCCGTTCGATCTCCCCCTCCTAGCATCATCGCCTTCGCGCCGTTTCTCCAGCCCTCTTCCGCCCGCACCATTGCCTCTTCCCCGGTCCGCATTCGTCTTCGGCGGGAGATTAATAGGGGAGGAACGCAAGGAGGAGAGGCGCGAACGGTAGCACGGATCAAAGAGGGGCAGGCGGACTGGGCGCGCGAGGAGAGAGAAGCAGTGGAGTGAGGGGTAAAGCGGGGGAGTGGGCGAGGGCGGGCGACGAGGCTGGAGGCGGAGGCGGGGGCTGGGGGGGCAGGAGGAGGGGCAGGAAGAGGTGGCGAGGCGTGGGGGGGAGGCATCCGCATCGCCGCGCCCTGTGCTGATCGCATGAGCGCATGAGCGTAACTTCCCGCTGCCGCGCTCCTTCTCGCTGTGTTCGCTGCGGCGCACACAGGCCGGGATGAACGCCGAGGGCATGGCGGAGGGGGCGGCGGGGGCGATGGAGGCGGGCATGGCGCAGCTGCAGCAGCGGCTTAGGTCCGCCGAGGCCAAGGCGGAGGAGGTGCTGCTGCTGAAGCAGGAGGTGCGGGTGGCGGGATGATAGGGCAGACAGACGCTTTCTTTGATGCTGCTGGCCATGAGTGCCACCACGGCTTCATCCGAATGCTGCTGTGGTTCTGCATGACGTGCTTTATTCCCGCAAAGGAATAACTGCTATGCACGCCGCATCCCATCCCATCCCATCCCATGCCATCCCATCCCATCACACCATACCACGCCACGTCATGTCACGTCTCGTCACCCTAAACCCGTTCACCCCTCCTTCCATTCGCCTGCCGCGCTCAACTCAATCCCCTTTCCCCCGTCCATCCCACATCCCCAACTCTTCCATTGGGGCCGCCCGCGCAGTGCGGGCAGGGAGGCCACCACAGCTCTCAATTGCCCCTTCCCTTGCGCGCTACCGCCCCTCCCGCCCCGCCTGCCCCTCGCCCTTCCCCTCGCTTATCTCCCCGCGCCCACCCCTACCATCCCGCCCCCCCAGCTGGTGGACCTGGACCGGCAGCGCAATGCAGGCCGAGAGGCCATCACGGCGCTCAAGAAGCACGCCAGGGGGGCAGCTGCCAGGAGAGCAGGGGGGGCCGGGGAGGGCGGAACTGTGGGAGGTGGATCTGAGGAGGCGCAGCGACCTCTTGTAACGCCCCTGCCTTCAGTGGCGAAGGGTGCTTCAGGATTGGCTGGGAGTGCGGAGTGTGCGGTGTGTGGTGCGGTGGGGCAGAAGGAGCGAGTGTGGGTGGCGATGGGAGGAGGGGAGATGTTTGTGCGCATGCCGCTGCACCACGCCCACGTGCATGTGAAGCGAGGTGAGGCAAGCACATACCATGTGCGTTCGGAGTGATGTAATGTGTGACGAGAGGTGAGGAAAGCATATGGCCAGGTGTGTGTGAAGAGAGGTGAGAGGTGAAGAGAGGTAAGTAACCCAGCCATCGAGCAACTTATTACCTTTCCCAATCTGTTCCCCAATCTTTCTCTCTCTCTCAAGCGGTCCTTTATTATGTTTATAAGGGGTACAGAGGTACAAACAGGTTTATGTATGTCCTAGTGTCCCCGAGCATCCTACTGCTGCCCGGGCCACCTGTCGCAGGTAGGTTCAATGGTGGCTTCCAGTTCTCCCCAGGTAAGAGGTTCGTCTAGGGGGCGGTCGTGGCTGAAAGCTTGGCCTGTCACCTGGCCAATTTTCGCATGGAGGGTGATTGCCTGCTGCCGCTGGAGGGTGACTGACCACCTCTGGCGATAGCTGTGCAGTACCTTCTTTGCCACCGCCGACTTTTCGTCGGCCTGGTGGTTCCGGCGGGCTGAGAGGGCAGCCAGTACTCGGAGGAACTCGAGTGTGTCGGGGGAGCAGCAGCCGTATGTCTCAGTGGCGACTCCCAGCACCTTCACAAAGGTGAGTCGTTCGTCGTACAGGTCCCGCTTCTTGCCCTGCATCTCTGCCGCCATCCACCCCGTCCCCTTTCGTGCAGTTGGGTCGCGGGTTGAGATGGGGTCGGTGACTGTGACGTCACAGACCCATACCGCGCCTGAGTCCGGGCATCGGAGGGTGATGTCGGCGCGGCGTTGGGCAGTTTCGGGTAAGTAGAGCGTGGATTCCATGTGGGACACGAAGTGGGATTCTCGGGCCAGTCGCATCCCGAGGTTCACGAGCGCGTCGTGGGTCCGCTTTGGACCCCCGCCCAGGGTGCACCGTAGCATGTGGTTGGGCAGCCGGTTGTCTGGTATCGCATGTTTTTCCCGGCAGTTGCATTTGCCGGGTAGGGAGTGCTGCAGGCCCATGCGGAAGGCTAGGGCCGTGGCAAATTGCCCCTTGCTCATGCTTAGGTCCGGGGAGAAGGGGATGGCGACTAGCCAGTCCCCTGCCCCTGGCCCGAGCAGGGAGAGGAGGCGCTGGGTGTGGCCCAGGAGGGGGTTGAGTGGCATGTGTCTGGAGTCTGCCACTAGCCGTGCGTGCCTGGCCCCGTGTACCTCCAATGCTAGGGCATGCTGGAGCTTGGCGCCAGGTTCGTCGCGCAGGCGGGTGAGTGTGGACTGCGCTGGTTCGGGGAGTGCCGCTTCCAGGCAGTTGAGCAGGTGGTGTAGGGGCGTTAAGGCGGTGAAGGGCGGAGTGAGGAGGTGGAGGAGGTCGGCGAGGGGTGAGGAGTCAGGGGGTTCCATGGAGCGGAGGAGGTCACCGGCCTGTAGTGCGGAGGCCAGGTAGCTGTAGCTGCCTTCCGCGGCGGGGTCAATGAGGCCGAGGCCTCCTATGGTGATCGGCAGGGTCGCCTGTCGCCAGAGGAGGTCTCGGCCTTCAGCGTCCCGTGGCTGCTGGAGCTCGCATGACTTGAGCGCAACTTCCAGCAGGGACTTCCCCCACTGCGTCCATTCCTCGGGGGGGAGGAGGTCGGTGGGGGTGGTGCAGAGGAGGTAGGATGCCCTCCTCGTGATGCAGCGGGTGAGGAGCAGCAGCGCAACTTGCGGGTGTAGTTGCTCTACCAGGGGGAGCGCCGCTGCCGCTTTTTCGAGCGTGCGGCGGATGATGTTCCCGCATCCGTGGGTGGTGCCGATGGGGCTGCCCAGGACCTTGATTGCGTCGTGGGTAAGTGGTACTCCGGCGGGGATGAGCGCGGGGTCCACCGGTGCGGGTGACCACGCTGCGCACTTGCTGGCGTTGCATGTGAGTCCAACCGCTGCTGCCCGACCCGTGAGGGCATAGAAGGCGGCTGCGCAAGCCGGCGGCGGGCCGATGATGGTCACGTCGTCGGCGTATGCCAGTAGGAGGACGTCTGGGTACTCCTCTGCTGTCATGCTCAGCGCCTGGTGGAGGGCGAGGGCAAACAGCATGGGGCCCAGCGGATCGCCTTGGCGTACGCCCCGCTCGCTGATGAGCGGGTCAGCGCCGAATGCGTGGTCGAGCAGAAGGCTCGATGGCCTTCCATAGGAGAGGCGGGTTAGGGGCAGCAGCCCTTTGAGTGGGCTGTTGCGTAGGGCGCGGAAGAAAGCGGTGCGTTCGACTGAGTTGAACGCGTTGGAGAAGTCCACCTGGAGGAGCAGGTGTTCGGGGTGCTGTTCGAGGTGGGTTCTTGTTGCGTGCACCACCGTTTCGCCCCCTCCCTTCATCGCCACTCCTAGCTGCAGGGGCGCGAAGTGGGCTTGGGCTAGGGTCGTCGTGAGGTGTAGGCTGGCCTTGCCGAAGAGGCGTCGTAGGCACTCGCTGATGGCGATGGGCCTGGTGTCGCCGTCGGGTTTGGTGAATGCCAGCAGTCTCGAGGCGGTGAGGAGGTCCGCCGCCTCTAGCGGCACTTGCCCTGCGAGTGCCGCGTTGGTCACTTCTGTGAGCAGATTCAGGACGTCGGCGTTCGAGGCGGCTGCGTCCCTCAGATGTTCGAAGCACATGCCGCTGGGCCCCGCCCCGACTCCGTTCGGGCTCCGTCGTAGTACGGCTTTGAGCTCCCGTGGTGTGATGGTGAGACGCGGCGGGTGTGGCGCTGTATTGGCGTCGGTGGGTGTTGTGCTTGTGAATGTCGCCCAGTTGGGGAGGGCGTGTTCGGCGGCGGGGTGTTTGTCTCGGAGGGCGTGAAGTGTCTCCAGGGTGGGTTCACACACCGGGGTGGATTCCAAGGCTTGGAGGGCCTTCCGCAGGTTCCCGCGCTTAGTGAGTGTTTCCGCTCGGGCTAAGTGCCCGGCGGTGTCATTCGCGTGGCGTGGGGGTCGTGGTAGTGAAATCGAGGTCACGGCCTCGTCGTACAGTGCCTCCCAGGCGCCTGTGGCGAATTTGCGACAGCGTCGTAACATTCCATCCCAGTCCGGATTCCTCGTCGACGTAGTCGCGAGGGTCAGGCGAGGGAGGAGTAACAGGCGCCAACCTCCTCTGCTGTCCCTGTTACGCGCGAGGTGCAGCAGTGGTGTCAGCAGGCAGGACGCGAACTCCGCGAGGATTTCGCGCGGTAGGCGACGTGCCAGGGGTGGGAGCCTGGAGTCGCGGAGCACGGTCATGTCCCACTCGCACACTTTGGCGAAGAGTTCGTCGTTCTTCGCCAACGCCAGAGGGGATTGTACCCGCGCTGCAGGGGTTGGTCTGCGGGCGAATGTCGAGCCGCGGCGGGTGTTGGATGTGGCGGCTCGCCGGTTGGACTGGCCGGGCCGCACATTTGCGTCTCGGGCGGGGGAGTCCTCCAAATCTCCCTCGTCTGGGGCGCCTTCCCAGTTTACCCCGATTGGAGGGGTATTAGTGGGGTCGTTTGCGTGTTGAATTGCATCGTCCTCATCATCAGCTTCCTCCCTGTTCCCTTCCGCTGGTCCCCGCGTAGCTCCTCCTCCTGGTGTGTCTGCAATTGGAGTGTCAGCACTTAGCTAGTTTTCCATCCCTCGGTCCGTCCCTCCGCCTCCGCCTGCTTCTGACTCCGTCGCTCTATTAGCGTTGGGTGATGCAGCGGCTGGGTGTGGTCCCCGGCGCCGTTCTTCGCGTTGTAGGCGCGCGGCGACGCCGCGGAAGGTTGCAGCGCCTGTCGACTCTCGCCCGAGCCCTTGTCCGCCCCTCGTTCCTCTGTGTCCTCGGGTTGTGCTTCTCGTTCGCTCCCCCCCCGGGGCCGCGGTTGTACCTGCGCGGGCCGTGGCTCGCGTGTGTGGGGCTCTGCTTCTTTCCGGCTGCGCTAGAGATGACGCAGGGGTTGCTCTTCTCCCCCTCTCGCCTGCCCCTACGTGAGGCGGAAGCGTCCCCGTCGCCGGTGGGTTCTCCTTCCGGCGTCTCGCTGGCTCTGTCGCCAACGTCCCAGCTGCGCTTGGAGTTTCGGCAGCAGCAGGTCCAGGTGGCAGCGATCGCGAGCGCTCTCGAGCAGCTTCTGCGGCTGCCTCGGTCCGCTGTCGGCGACCGGGTCGCGTGTTCTCCGCCGTCGCCTGCACCCGCGCCCGCGATTGTACGAGAGGGTTTCGCGGGAAGTCCCATGGATCGCTCCCCGCTTCGCCCGTCTGCCTTGTCGCCGGCTCAGCCGGCGTCGTTTCCTTCTCCGTCTCGGCTTCCGTCGTCGCCCCTTCCAGTCCCCCCGGCCCCTCCGGCTCCCCCGCCGTCGAGGGGGTTCGCCGGTGGTCCCGACTCCTCTCCCCGCGGGGTCCTCCAACCGCCTCCTATGCCTCCTCCAAAGTCGCCAGCGGGACCACCAGCCGCTGTCGAACACGACGTCGTATCGGGTCAGGGCGTGTCCGCGGGGTCTCCGCCACTGCCGTTTCGTCCGATGAAGCGTCCCCGCGGTGGCGCCGCGGCGGGCTCTCGGGCAGGGTCACCTCCGACCATAGTGCCCGGAAGACGAAGGGACCGCTCTCCGCCTCTCTCCGGTCGTCCTCAGGGGTCGGGTTTGCGGGTGGGGTGGGGTATGCCGCCGACACCAGTGGGTGTGCTCGGTGACCCGCCGCCGCTTCCTCGTCCGCCTATCCGCCTGGCGTCGCCGCGCGCGTTCTCGCCAGTTGAGGCGATGGCCGGCGTCGTCGCATGTATTGGCGCGGTGGCCGAGGTGCTGGATTGTCTCCGCCCACCGCCGCTGCAGGCGCCTCCCCGGAAACCTGAGGCGGGTCGGTCGTGGCGGCCCGCGATGTCTCGCCGCCAGCAGCGACGCGCGATGGAGGCCACGTCGCTACTCCTCTGGCGGCTGGCCTATGGGTTGCCGCTAGGAGCAGAGGCGGGGGAGCTGGATCCTGCTCCTCGCGCCGTTGATGAGTTGAATCGGTCGCTCGTGGCGAATCAGCGCCCGGCGATCTTGGCCGCTTGCGCGGCGGTGCTTCGGGCGTTGGAGAGTCGGGCCGGGGCCCTTGTCCCGCCGTCGGCTTTGAAGGTGTA